GGTGCTGATCCGGATGTTCATGGATTCCAAGGCCAGAAGGCGCCATCGCAGTCTGACTCCCACGGGCCTGAGCCCTGCCCTCTAACGCTCCCTAGAGCTGTTGGAAAAGCATCCAGTCTTACTTTAACCTTTGCCAGTAATGGAGAATCCACCGTGACCTTTGATAAGTTCTTCTAGTAGTTAATTCCCTGCCCTGTTAAACATTTACACCTTCCTTCCAGCCTGAATTGCTCTAGCTTCCAGCCACTGGCTCATGCTCTGCCTTTGATTTCTGGAGTTCACCCCCCAGGGCAGGGCAGCGTGCAGGAAAATGCTTTTGGATCCTGGGTTGGGATGTAATAGGCGAGTCGATTAACCAATAAGCAAAAGCTTATAGGTTAATGCTGTAGACTACATGCATTTCCACCCTGCTCCAGTACATTTTTTAGCAGGCTGGCCAGCAGCCCACCTCAGTCCCGGCTTGTGCCAGGCCGGGGACCTACCCCCACTGTGGCTCTGCATTTAAAGTGTATTAGGTGGCAGGTGGGTGGGCACTCTGGCTCAGTTCTGGCTCATGCTGGGCCTGGGAGCTCAGCCTCATCCTCCAGACGGGCTGCTGTCACCCCATGCTGCTACCTCTGTATCAGATGCAGCAGTGTGGGGTGACAGGCAGTCAGTCCACAAGGGGAGCTGGTTTATAAACTGGCCCTCCTCACGGAGCAGCTCCCGCCTGGCACCTCAAGTGTGGGGCCAGAGCGCACTGGCTGCTGGCCCAACTCCTGGGGACTATGGAATAATCAAGTAACTGATAAGAATTCACGAGGTTACTTGACTGTTCAATTAACTGATACTTAACATCCCTAATCCTGGGTGATTCTCAGAGAGAGACCTGTTCAATTAGTGCTACATCCCCTTTCCACAGTGTAAGTCTTTTGACTCATTATTAAGGGGTTGCTTGCCCAGGTTGTGTGTACTGGAAGTGTTCTGCACTAGTGTCTGTGCACTCTTCCTGGGCCGAATCACAGTGAGGTGTTCCTATGAATACCCTGCCCACACTCCAGCTTTGTAGTGAGTTGGGAGACAGGTGCTGGCGTATGTAGCCTTGCCTGTAGTTTGTGCCCAAACGCCGTATGTGCAAGCCTCAGGCTGCCACTGGGCCGTCTAACCCTGGTTTGGGGCACACCTGCAAAATGTTGTCTTTAAATATTAGCAGTCAACAGTGCCTTGTTTAAACCAGCAACTTTCAACCTTTCCAGGTTCCGTACCCCTTTAGGACTCTGATTTCTCTTGCCTACCCCCAAGTTTCTCTAGGAGGACAGAAGAATAAGACTGAATAAGAAGAATAAGACGGGACTTTTCAGTTTGGAAAAAAGAGAAGGGTGAGATATAATAGAGGTCTATAAAATCACGACCAGTTTAGAGAAAATGAACAAGGAAAAGTTATTTACTTGTTCCCATAACTTAAGTACTAGGAGTCACCAAATGAAATTAATCGGCAGCAGGTTTAAAACAAACAAAAGGAGGTTTTTCTTCACACAACGCACAGTCACCTGTGGAACTCCTTGCTAGAGGATGTTGTGAAGACCAGGACTTGAACAGGGTTCAAAAAAGAGCTAGATAAATTCATGGAGGTTAGGCCTATCAGTGGCTATTAGCCAGGATGGGTAGGAATGGTGTCCCTAGCCTCTGTTTGTCAGAGGCTGGGAATGGATGACAGGGATGGGAATCACTTAATGGTTCCCCATTCTGTTAACTTTCTCTGGGACACCTTGCATTGGCCACTGTCAGAAGGATTCTGGGCTAGATGGCCATTTGCTCTGACTCTTGCTGTTCTTATGTTCTCACAGTGGCTAACGTGCTCTTGGTTTCATATAAACATGAGGTGATGGGTGGAACTAGGACTTGTGAAGGGCTGTCTAGGTTCAGCACCAATAGGAGCTGGATTTTGTGAAGGCGGCGAGAGAGCCGTTTCCCAAAGCAAGGATTTGAATAGGTGGGGCTTTCCCCTGCTGTAGCGCAGAGAGCTCGCCTGCTCCCCAGGACACTCTGGCTTAGGGGAAGAAGGAAGGCGCTCCGGTTCTGTAAGAGTTCCCGAGTCCTGCGCACCTGAAGCTGCTCTTGTTCATTATCTGGGTTGCTGAGCAGCCGAGACCCCAGTCGTGGACCGAGACCTCTCCCTGGTAGGTGCTAGCTGGGGAGAACACAGGTGGCACTGTCCTAAAGAGCTTGTGGCCTATGTGTAACATGAGCAACAGCAGGTGGACGTGACAGATGAACCAGGCAGCCATGGGGAGCATGTTAATCAGGTATTTACAAAAGAAAAGCACCGTGTTTCTTGGAGAGTTTCCAGTATCGTAGAGCAGGTAAACAACTATTTATGTGCCTGGTTTGGGGTAGTTGAGTGCAAATGCTTCCTACGCTGGGCAAGGCCGGTGCTCTTGAGAGAGAGCGCATCTCGTGATTGTGTTCACGCTGTTGGTGAAGCACGCACGTGGCCCAAGCATGCGCCCGTTGTGACCCTTTTCTTAGAGTTTTGTGGGGCCTGATTCAGCCGAGTGGTGTTTCTTTCCCCTCCTTTGTTAGGAAGAGTTTACCCAACGCCTCCGCTCCGAGTGGTGCTTTTTGAGATGCGTCTCGCGTGAGCGTTTTCCTAGAAACAGAGGATTGTTTTGTTGGGTGTTGCTTTAATCAGCATGTGTTGGCTGCTCTTCTGCCCTCCCCAGGCTGAGCCTGGCTTGCTTTCTTTGAGGCCTGCGAGGTGGAAAGCGGGGGCCCCACTGGGTCAGCAGTGGTGGAAGCAGATGGACACAGAGTGAACACGGGGGAGACTTGAGGAGAAGAAAAATCTCTTCTGACGTCTTGCTTGTGATCGTACGTATGATGATAGCACCTGGGCGCCCCCGTTGTGGTGCTAGGTGCTGTACAGGCACAAGATGACGACAGTCCCTGCTCCAAGGGGCGTACTGTCTAGTTCTGGTTTATTTGGCTTGTCTAGTTAGCATGGAAGCGCTTAGGGGAAAGGGCTTGTGATCTTCTTCATGCCCAGCCCCTACTGCAGAGAGGCCCTGATCCCAGTACGGGCCTGGGAGTGCTCCTGTGAGAGAAACACTAAATAATTTCTAGTGCTAATGAAAGGTGTTGGCTTAAGGTCCTTGGAGACTGGTAGCCTCTGTTCTCACTGTGGCTTTGTACGCGCCGAGCTGCTTCACTCCTGTCCTGGAGAGATTCCCTACAGCAGCGAGGGGAGCTCAGTATTTCTGACTCACACAAGGCCTGGCCTCTAATTTGCATCTCCAGGGAGCAGCGTGACGAGCTGTGTTTATAGTTTCCCAGCTCTCCCCATGGAATAAAACCTCCTTTTGTCAACGGCAACACTAGAAAAACCTGGATTGGTTTCCGGATCCAAAGAATACTCAAGCCACATCCAGATCGTTACATGATGAAAAGATATTGCCATGGGCTTTGGCTGCCACGCAGTGTGTGTGCTTCCAAGCCAGGCTGGTGGGTCATACTAACACACCGAGTTGGTGTTTAAATTCAGACTCTGTGCTCTCCCTGGTCTGGGATGGATGCGGGGGCCAGCGGGTGAGATTCTGCCGGTGATTCACAATAAGGCCAGGAGGGACCAAAATCTGTTGCTAGATCATCGTCATGTGAAAATGTCTTAATCTCTTGGATTCCTACCCAACAAATAGTTAAAACGGAGTAACTGAAGAGTCAGCGGCATCCCAGAGATGCTGTGATTCTCTCCCCAAACGAGCACCACGCACCCGGGAAAATTAGAATCCATTTTAAAGAAATCCCAAGGTCGAATGCAACCCAGTGGCTGGACGGGGAGGAGAGAGAAATTCAGACTAGAAAGAAGGCGCAGCAAGGGTTCGTAACCGTCGGAACGACTTGCGTGCGGCTTTGGTGGGTTGATGGGATGTTCCTGTGAAAGTTCTACTCGAGTTCATCCAGGGATTAATTCAGAGAGGTTCTACTACGGCCTGTGCTATCCAGGAGGTCAGACTGGGTGGTCACAGTCGTGTCTTCTGGCCTTGGCATTCATGACACTTGAAGGTCTGGAGAGGTAGAGCACCCACCCAGCCTTAACTCAAGCTGGAGGTGATGCCATATAACAACAATCTAATTGCAGTAGAGCTAGGGATGTAAGTGAGAAGTTGACTGCTCAGCTATCTGATAAGCCTAGGCTGCTTGAGCAATCGAGTCAAGTTCTCAACTACTTGCTCCCCCTCATCAGAGGCAGCAAGAGGGGGGGAAACAGGAACCAGTGCTGGGAGGAGCTGGCTTAAAAGCTGGTTTCCCCCAAGCATTGTCTCCATGGTGCTCTCTGCCCCTCCTCTCCGCTGCTGCCTGTATTGCGGGTGGGGAGTTAGGGAAGGCTGCTACAAAGCAACCTCTGCCCGTGGTGGGCCAAAGTTGTTCGGGCAGCAGCCCCTGTCCACGGCCAGCCCTGGCTGCCATGAATAGCAGTTGCTGGACCTGGTGTGAGCCGGGACTGAGCAGTGGTCTGGGACCTCTGCATTTTAAATGTAGTAATAGCTGCCTAGCAGAGGTGCAGTGCTCCCGAACTGGCACGAGCCAGGACTGCTCAGTCCCGATTCGTGCTGGGTCCGTGAGCTATACCTGCTGCGGCTCTGCATTTTAAAGGCAGTAAGAGCTGGGCAGCGCTTACTACATTTAAACTGCAGAGCCGCAGCGAGGTAGCTCCGGGACCGGTGTGAGCTGGGACTGAGCGTCTCCCCTAATCGATATTAATCGTGTGGTCAATACGAATTGAATCGACTACATGATCAGTCGATTACCCGCCTCTTAACATCCCTAAACAGAACCTCAGGAACTGACCGGCCAGTCACACACCTTGTTTGCTGCTGCCTGATTGCGTATTTTTGTGTCCAGACACCAAAAAACATAAACTACTCAAATGAAAGGGAGAGGGGGCAGCATTTTTCTTCTGCACAGGAAAGTGTCAAAGCTGAATTAAGGCTGGTGCAGTTGTAAACTTTTGAAAGACCTCCATGAGTGTTCAGTGTGACGAACCTTTCAGAGTGACAGCCACCTCCGTGCCAGTGAGGTTCCGCTACAGAGGACAGTATGTTTTGGAGCGGAGGGGAGGGTCCCAGAGTGAAGCGAACAGGTTTTTAACGACTGTTTCCCCCTCATGGCTGGTTGGACTGGACCCTGGCTGTGGAGTGGTTTTCTTTTCGAGCTTCCTCATACGCTGCTTCTCTGTTGGGGAGAGAGGAATTCTCCCTGGACAAACGAAAGTCAGATCAGAGATTGACTGATGGCTTACGGGTGGGTTTTGATTCCTTGAAAAGGTGCCACCAGCAAGGCAATGCTAATAATACACGTCGCTAAATAAACCCTGCTGGATCAGGCAGGGACTCTGACAGGAGAGAGGAAAAGCTCTTGAGAGTTATTGGCGTCAATTGATTCCTTCGGGGAGCAGTGAAATTTACAGAACACGTCGCTCCTTGCTGCCGGATCCAGCTTTGTACGTTAGCAACCGAGGGCACACGGTGATGCTCTTGGGCCATAGGCCAGTTGTGGGGGGGCATTTGGGTGGTTCTTAGCGTGCCTTGAGACATCTCTGCTCTCGTGTCTCGGAAACGGAGCCGCTGTCGCATCGCAGCCAATTGGAAGAGACGGACGCACCAGCCTGAAAACCGACTAGCTGGGATGTTCTAGCAAAGAGCCCGGCCCTGGACCACGTCTTCTGCATGGCCAAGGCCCTGTTCCAGCACACTGCTCACCACGTGACTGTGTCGGCTCCCGGGAGAATCGCCGCAGAAGCAGTGCGAGCAGAGACTGCTTCGGTCCCCGCTTGCGCCGTTTCCCGCAGCGCCTCTACGTCCCCTGCCCCCCGTGGAGACAGTGCTGGGTGGAACTGGCATTTTTGTAATCTCGTACATCCCTAGTCCAGCCCTGGGCTGGGGCAGAGCCAAGTCAACGTAGCCCATCCTTTGCAGGCGTGTGTCCCGCTTCCTCTTACACACTCACTCACTCACCCTGAGGAAGGTTTTTAACAGCTCGTGTTACTGGGCAAGTGTGTAATTCATGGGTGAGTGTGTAATTCATGGCCAGGTGTTGCCAGGCGAGTGTGTAATTGCCGGCTGGGTGTTACTGCTCCCTTCAAAGGTTTGTTTCCTTGTTGCTCTTTCTTGTTGACTGGCGAAGGTTGGTCATCTTGACACACCGCTGTCCCGTGGTGGCTGGGAGCTACCTGCGACCTGCACGTTGACTGGTGTGCCTCGTAGGTCCTCCGCGTGCGCTAGTGGCAGTGCCTAGGTGCGTGTGTGTTGACAGGGAGAACATCCCCCAGTGTTGCTTTCTCTCGCCAGGGATAACACGCCTGCGTGGGGGTTTGTACCCACGTGACTATTTCAGTTGGGGTGGTGTTTGACCCGTTTCGGCGTACCGCTCCAACCCCTCGTTGGGACAGTTACAGGGTGTAGTTCTTTCCCCTTTCCTTATGGGACCAGTAGAGTAGAGGGACCGGGCCGCTGACGGAACTGCAGCTGCACCAGGGAGAGGGGATCCCACTTTCCCTAGTCCGCACGGCGTAGGCTGTTCAGCGTGTGGCTGGCAAGGCTGAAGCGCTCAGCTACGTCTCCCGGAGTGATCCTCTCCAAAGCCCCCTGCGCACTGGGAAAGCGAGGCAGAGCGGGTGAGTGACAGCCCCACCAGGGGGTGGAGCCAGGCTGAGAACAGAAGCATTCCCGACCTATTGCCCCGGGACCAGACCACCCTGCGGATTGGGAGCACATGTCGATACTGAGCCCTGCGTTTCTCTCGCCGTTCCCTCAGTGAGCGTGAACTTACGCACTCGTGAGAAGCCGCTGGTGATGTTCAGGCTGCTGCCGTGCAGCCACGCTACAGGCCTTTTCGCCGGCCGGGGGATCAGAGCAACAGGAGCCGTGTGTGGCTCTGACCCCGCATAGTCTTTGCTTATGTTGGAATCCTGTTACTCTGTCGGGGACTCTGCTGTCTGGGCACGCCCTGCGCTGAGCTGAGCTGGATGGGCTGGGGTCGCAAATGCTGCTTGCTGGGTAAATGTGGTGAGTTGCTTTTCAAAACTAAGGCTCTTTTTCTTTCTCTTCTCCTCACTCGCTGCAGACCAAAGTGGAGGACTTGGTGCAGGAGGTCTTCAGTGCTTACACAACGAACCACCACGTCTCACAGTAAGTCCCTGGCAGATGCAGTGAAAGCCCGGGGAGGGTTTGACCTGGAATTCTTGGGTGAGCTTTGCAGCATGGTGCGTTTGTCTGTCACGTCCGCCGCTCGTGGTTTAGCCGAAGTCGCAGCAGGGCCTCGAATGCTCTACCTGGGCTTGCTGGGGATTGTCTGGCGTATTAAGTGGACTCGATTGAACCGGGTGCTCTCCTTTTGCCCATCGAACGAGCCCCGGAGCGAGACATCCCTGTCTCTGCTTTTCAACTCCATGTTTGCTTGCAGCGTGCTCTGGCTGGACGTGGGGCCTAGCGGAGCTACTGGCACAGCCTAATGTTGCCTTTCATATTCATTCAGAAACTACAGGTCCCATCATGCATTGCTCCACTTTGGCCCCAGCTGTCGGGCTGCATGTTGGGAGGCAGGAGGAATAGCTGAACGTCCCTAAAACGAGGGACCCCGTCGTTACCTCCCGGCTAAGCATTAGGGTGATTTGCTGAGTCTTCAAACCCAACAGCTTTGCTGCTCTGCCCGTTTCTGCCTATGGCAGGTGTCCCTGGGATGGAAGACACAAGCAGGCTGGTAAATGCTGGGTGAAGCCTCCGAATGCTCTTCATCTCCCGTTTGCCTTTCAGATTTGTCCTGCAGCGCGAGAAGCATTACCACTACTTGAAGAGAGGCCTGAGGCAACTGACGGATGCCTACGAGGTAACCCCGCTTTCTAGGTGACAGGTTTAATCTGTGAGGCGTCTCCCTTTGCTTCCCTGCTGTTGCTGTGTGCCGTTAAATGGGCCTTCCCCAGAGGTGGCTGCATTCCAGCAGTGGGTGAAGTGATCTCTGTGCTGGCTCTGTGGTCTGGGACCCCTCAGGATGAAAGCCTTTGTTACTGTTTGGGGGTTATTTCCTGCCTACGTTCTTTCTGGAGCATGGGTGTGTTGGGAGTTCCACGCCCTACTTGCTCCCAATGCTGTTCTCCTTCTCTTCCTTTGCACCGCTTCAGTCTCTCGCTTACCTGCCCCAGAGCAGGGTGAGTGACTAGGCCTCATTGGGGTTGTCCTCAGCGTGGCCCCATCTCCATCTCCCTGCAGCTGGGTAACCGCATTGTGCTGTCGGCAGCGCCGGTCCGGGGCCTGACCGCTTTCTCCTCTTGCAGTGTCTGGATGCCAGCCGCCCCTGGCTGTGCTACTGGATCCTGCACAGCCTGGAGCTGCTCGACGAGCCCATCCCGGAGTCCGTGGCTTCAGAGTAAGTCTTGTTCAGCGAGGGCTCCGGGTGCTGAGTGGAGGCGGTTTGCAGACAGCGAGGCCGGGCGTTTGGAGACAAGCTCCTAGCGCCCTCGTCTTGGTGTCTCTGATATTTGCAAAGGGGGAGTGTGGTCTAGTGGGCAAAATGGGGGATCCCACCTTCTCATCAGGCCGGCTTTTAACCCGTTATGGCCACCCCCTAGTAAGACTTTCTGTTTAGCACCAGCCAGGGAATCTTGGAGTCCAGCAACGTGTGGCCTAGACGGTGTCTCTTGGAAAGACCCTGCGTCTTAAGAGGCGATGGAGAAGCCACTTGCAGCCTGTGTGAAGGGCCCCAGTCTGACTCGCACTGGGCCGGGAGCAGCCCTGCTGGAAAGCCGGAGGCAGCTCTGGGAATCGGGGCAGCAGCTGGCTCCGACTTAGCCGCAGGGGAACGGAGCCAGCTGGCTTTGGTGTGTCGGGATGAATTCGTCCCCGGGGCAGCAGACTCGCCCTCGGGAAGAACGTGGCCTGTTCTTTGTCAATCCCAGCACCGTGTAAGGGGCTCCCATCTGCTGACTGTAGGATCAAACCCGGATGATGGGAGGGAAGTAGGAGAGAGCTGCACAGGCAAGGACCTGGACTTGGTATCACCGGCCCTATCTGCTCTGGCCAACGGCTAATAAAACCGGTGTTGGGGGCTAGGTCTCGTTGCTAGGCAGAGGACTCAGACTTCATCCATGTGTCCGGGCCATGGCTTCTAGCCAAGTCTTGTTCTCTGCCACTGATTCATTGTGTGGCTGTGGTTGCATCCCATAGGGCCTGATGTCTCAGACAGCCGCGATCGGAGGCCTCTCTGTACCCATGTGCTGGCCTCGCCTGTGGAGGCCAGGCTCCATGCCCACAAACAGAGCCAGGTGCCATGGGAGTGCTCCAGCTCCCAGCATGGCAGTGCCGTTGGGTTACCTGCCTGGGAGCGTGTGGGCCTGGGCCTTCGCTTGCTGGCGGTCAGGCTTGGAGCCTCTGTGTCTGCCATAGAAATAACTGTCCTGACCCACAAACGGGGCTGTTGGGTGGCTTAGCTCACGAGCGTTGATTTGGGTCACAGCCAGCGTCCCAGGACTGTCAGCAGGTATGGGAGCCCGGCGGCCCCAAGCCCTGCAGAGGGAGAGCTGCCCAGCGTGTGGCAGACAGAGGAAGGACAACGGGGCTGAGGGAGGGGAGGCAGGGAGAGCGGACGGAGTTGGCAGCATCTCCCAGTGGCCAGGGAGCAACGGAGCATGGGCATAGAAGCCCAGCTGGCGTGTTGTCCGGGTGCAGACTGGCGCCTCCGAAGACCTCGCTCTCCCTCCGGGTAGCGGCGCTCGCAGAGAGCAACTGCAAGAAGGAGCATCCTCCGCCGGGCTGCAAGGGCCAGGTGCCGCTGAGAGCCGGAGAGGCTGTTGGCACGTTGGGTGCGGGCCTGAGGGTGCAGGAGGCCGTGGCCTGTTTGGGTCAGGTTGGACCCGTGGGATCCAGAGCTCGAAGGAGGAGTCCCAGGGAAAGTGGGGGGCTGGCGCTGGAGGGCAGGAAGAGGCCAGAGAGATGGCGGAGGAGGGGGGTGCACGGCAGCGGAAGGGGAAGTGCTGTAGAAAAGGGACCGGCAGCCGGAGACGGGGCTGAATCTGTCCTGTGCTCCAGGGTAGTTCATAGCTGGGTGTCCTGGGCCTTCCGGTCTCTGGTGGGTGTGAGTGGCAAGGGGAGCCGTGCAACCAGGCATGGAGCCGGTTAACGCTGCACCAGAAGTGCCCACTCCACGCACCCCTCCCTGTTGTAACCCCGGGCTGCCCCGCCCCGTCCTCCAGCAGCACCTCCCCAGCTGACCGCTACCAGTGCTCCATATCCTGGCAAGCTCAGGGGTGCCGTGCCGGGGCACCACCCATCCTCCCCTCAGTGTGCCATGGGGAGCACCTGGGGCTGCTTCTGTCCGGGTGCTCAGCCAGGCCCCCACTCTGGCCCTGTACGGGTGCCGCTGCAGCACAAAAGCACATTGTCCCATTCATCCTGCTCCAACAATAGCCCCCCATTGTCACGCGCCCGGGGGCACCTTGTGACAGCTGTCGATGGTGGTGGTAAGGACTCCAGCCGCCCCCTGCTCTTGCAGGCAGGGAGCGGCGCCAAGAGCCGACTGCTCTGTGTGACTCGGGGCCGGCAGCTCACCGATTCGGACGGGAGCATCCGAGTGGGGAGGGCGGGAGGGGACTCCGGTGCTTCCAGGCTCAGTTCGTTGGTGGAGCGTACAGGCAGGAGCTGCTGCATGGGGGGAGCGGGGTGGAAAGGGCTCTGGGCTGAGACTCAGGAGACCCGGGTTCTGTTCCCGGATCTGCCACTGGCCAGCTGGGCCAGTGTGGGCGAAAGGCCCCTCCCGTGCCTCAGTTTCCCCACCTGTGACATGGGGACAGAGATACTGTCCTGCTTTAAGACCACCCTTGGTAAGCGCTAGGGATTATTAGTAACAGTCACGGCCCCTTGCAGGCTGCAAGGCCTCCGCCCATTTCTTCTCCATCGCGTTGGGCAGGAGACAGCGTTGGCTGTGGAAAGGGGCTGGACTGGAGCCCTTTCCCGGCCGTGTAAGGAGGAGCCCAGTTACCAGCAGAGAGAGATCGGAGGAGGGGCACTCTTCCCTCATTGAGTTTTCAATCTGAGGGCTCAGTGGTTTGTGAGAGGGGTGTCCCCCGCTGGGCCCCGCAAACTCCTCAAGACCCCTGGCAGCTGCAGGACTCACATCTGGGCCCGTCAGGCCACTGCCCTCCGCAAGGACGTTGCTCGGCGCTCTCTCAGGGGGCAGAGTGATGTCATTAGCTGTCACCGGCGCTCCTGATTTTGGGGAGATCTGTCCGCCCTGGGCAAGTCCCTGCCACGGGCCTGCTTGGGAAAGTGTTGATCTATGGAGACAGAGCAGGTAGGCCGGCTTGACGGGAGTGATTGGCCCGGAAGGAGGCCCCGTTGCCCAGGAGGCGGGTCATGGGAGGTAAAAGGAGCAGCAGGCCCATATGGGAACGTTCGTGACATTCGTCAGTGAGCCGAGAGGGACCATGGCCGGGCGCCCTGTGGGCCGGCGAGGGCTCGCTCAGCGCACGCTTGCAGAGAAGCTGGCGACGGACGAGAGACGTGGGGAACATGAGGTCGGATAAGCTGTGCGGGGCCGGACGTACGATGCGACACATAGTCGATGCCATGAGATGGGCAAAGTAGGGGGTAAACTCCCGTGGAATTGGTTAACCAATTAAAGGGAGGGGGATGGAGGGACTGCAGGCAGGGGCTGCTGCAGACATCAGAGCAGCCTCTGCCTGCGGGGGGTTTATGGCAGGGCCCCCGCGGGGCTGGAGCAACCCCCTGCCCGAGGCAAGCAAGGAGCTGCTCCCGTCCCCATTGGGTAATCTTAACCGGTCAGTTTTACCCTTTAACCTAACCGGTTAAGCAGTTAAACAGTCCCATCCCTAGTGCAAAGGTACATAAAGGAGGGGGTTTGCTGTGTGCTGTGCCCTGGACCCGTCCCCACGCTGGGCTCTGATCAACCCAGCGTAGCTTTGCTGTGTGCCCTGGGCCGGCTCGGACCCTTTATTTTCCTCCACTAACCTGCTGCGCTCGGGGTGACTAATAAACTCTGTTCTGAACAGGCTGCCGGGCCTGGCCATCCCTAGTGCAAAGGTACATAAAGGAGGGGGTTTGCTGTGTGCTGTGCCCTGGACCCGTCCCCACGCTGGGCTCTGATCAACCCAGCGTAGCTTTGCTGTGTGCCCTGGGCCGGCTCGGACCCTTTATTTTCCTCCACTAACCTGCTGCGCTCGGGGTGACTAATAAACTCTGTTCTGAACAGGCTGCCGGGCCTGGCGGTTGGGGAGCCCCGCGGAGCCGGCTAGTTCTTGCCCTCAGCAGCCAGGCCGGGGCTCTGCTGGAGACCTGAAATGCGGGTTTGGGTGAGCTGTGCCCAGGTTTTATAGACCCCACCCCCTCTCTCCCTCCAGCGTCTGCCAGTTCCTGAGCTGCTGCCAGAGCCCCAGTGGTGGGTTTGGAGGAGGGCCCAGCCAGCACCCCCATCTCGCTCCCACCTACGCCGCCGTCAGCGCGCTCTGCATCATCGGCACCGAAGAGGCCTTCAACGTCATCAACAGGTGACCCAACCCCAGCCAGCCTCCCCTGCAGTGGCCAGGCCGGAGGGCCTGGTACAGCTCTCGCCCGGGTGTGTACGCAGGAGGAAGGCTGGCGAGGAAAGTGCCCGGGGCGCTGGGGTGCCCGCTACACGCAAGCGGCTCCCGTGGGGGTTATTGGAGTTCTCAGCGGTGGAGGGAGGCCTAGGCTAGAGCCATCCGCCCCCAAACACCCAGGCCAGGCCCACATCTCTGCCAGGGAGGCAGCCCCCTCCTGCCATCCCTAGGGGTTGGCCCCTGGCCTGGGAGGGGATGTGGCCGTTTGATTGGCCAGGGGGTGTGACTGCCTTGAACCAATTGTGAACCCCTTGGTGAAAGAGGCTGGAGCTGACCCTGCAGTGGGCACATCCCCCATCTCCTTACTAAGAGCTCGGGAACCCTCCTGCGAACCCCTTGGTGAAAGAGGCTGGAGCTGACCCTGCAGTGGGCACATCCCCCATCTCCTTACTAAGAGCTCGG